TGTATGGGCATGTCTTTCTTTAATTTTGGGAAATTTTCTTCTACAGTTCTGTTGAAAGTCCGGTTAATGCCATTATCCCAAGATTCTTCTCCTTCCTTCATGCCTATGATGCATAACTTTGGTCTTTTTTATGGTGTCCCACATTTCCTGCATATTGCATCCCTGTGTCTTTTTAAAATTTTTCAGAATTTTTGCTTGAGTGTTGCAATTCTTCTACTTTATCTTCCAGTCTTGATATTCTGTTCTCCATTTCATTCATTCTATTGGTTAGGCTTTCTCCTTTTGTTTCTTACTGGCTTACTGAGTGTTTCACTTTCTTCTTCACTTCAGCCTGAGTATTCTTCAATATTTTTAACTCTTTTCTGAATGCATTCAGAAGTTTATCTATCTTCTTTTTTGAGTTCCATGTCCTGTGTTATCTCTAGAGAGTTCTCATTGTACTCCTCTAGAGGGTTATTGGTACTTGGTGGGGATGTATTATTTTGGTTTTTCATGTTATCATCTTTTTCTCTGTGACTTTGACATGTGCATTTCTTCTGTAGTTTTATAATTTTTCTTTTGAGTTCCATGTCCTGTGTTATCTCTAGGGAGTTCTTGTTGTACTCCTCTAGAGGACTATTGGTACTTGGTGGGGATATATTTCATGTTATTATTTTTCTCTGTGACTTTGACATGTGTATTTCCTTCATAGTTTCTGATTCTTGTGTGAGACTTAAGCCTTCAAGTTTAGGTCTGCTTCTTTTTGTAAACTTTATGTGTCTTTGTGGTTTACTTTTTGGGCATGAAAAGCTTGTTCCTCTAAGCTTCCGGTTCTCTTTTGATTTTATATTGGCATGGCCAGATTGCTTTTGTCTTCAGGAGTTCCCACAGAGGCCCAAGTGAGATGAGGCTCAGATGATATCAGGCTTTCTCCTAAGGTATGTGTCCCTCCAGGAAAGATATTGCCCTCAAGAATTTGTGGGCTGGACTGGCCTGGGAGAAGGGCCCAGGATAGATGTTGTTCTCAGGAAGCTGGTGGCTGTGCCACCCAGGGAAGTAAAGGGAGGTGAAGGCAGGACCAGGCCTAGTGGGTTCCTGGGGGCCACAGGGAGGAACTGGGTTGGTCTGGATGCAAAGGATCAGGAAGCAGTGGTGGCTCTGGGCAGAGGTTAGCCCTGGTGTCTGGGGTGCCAAGACAGGAACTGGGCCTGTACCCAGGCTAGGAGGAGAAACATGGCAGGGGAGCTGGGAGGGTGAAAGAGCCTAGGGGAGTCAAGGCACCATGGGCATGCTGGACTTACCCAGGGAAAGTGCTGGGACCAGGACACTGGAGGCTGTGCAGCCCAGGGAATTAAAGACAATAGTGGTGGTGCACATCTTTAATCCCAGCACTCGGGAGGCAGAGGCAGGCAGATCTCTGTGAGTTCAAGGCCAGCCTGGTCTACATAGTGAGTCCCAGGACAGCTGGGCCTACAGGGAGGCCCTGTCCAAAAAAGACTTAAAAAAAAAAAAAAAAGAGTACCAGCTGGGTATGGTTGTACACGTCTTTAATCCCAGCACTCGGGAAACAGAGGCAGGAGGCTCTCTGTGAGATTTGAAGACAGTCTGGTCTATATAGCTAGTTTCAGGCCAGCTGGGGATACAAGGAGACCCTGTCTTAAAAAAAAGACCGAAAAAAATAAAAGACCAAAAAAACTGTTGGACCTGGAGACATGGTTTAGTGGTTACAAACACTTGCAGTTCTTCCAGAGGACCCAAGTTCAGTTCCTACCACCCATGATGGAGAGTTTGTAA